GGGGCTGCGAACAATGGCAGCTTTCTGTCAGACAGCAACTTCAAAGGTCTGCTGAGTGACTGCTCTGAGTTATACTTTGTTGTAGATCACTGAGGAAATTCACAGATGTTTTCTCATACGAGACACCATTATAGCGGCTCAAGTACCCAGTAGCCTCGAGCGTCTCTCCCTCTCCCCTCTCTCCCACACTCTCAAACTCACTCTCACTCGCATCCCCCTCAACCCCTCACCCTCTCCCTTGCCCACCCCCATCCCAAGTCTCTGATATCTCTCGTATGAGACAGATATGGAACCTGTTTTCGCTCCAACTGTCCAGAGAATATGGAAAGTTAAAAAGGGTTCGTGTTGTGGCATTGCCCCTCGACACTGTCAAATCCACAGAGCTCACTCTCAGTTCGCTCAGGATGTCAAAATCACAGGCTGCTCCATTCTCTCACATCCATTTGGGGTCAATACAATAAGTTGTATATCATTCAAAGTAAACAATGTAATCTGAAAAATTGATAATGAAAGGTATTTTGAATTCAGATATCAACATAGTTTTTCTCTTTCTTCTGCAGATTTCCATTTTCACCACTGAACTGGACCAAAACAAACTGCATCTCAACAACACATGACATTTATTGTACATTTTTATTTATTTATAGTAAGTTGCTGTTTTATATGAGTCAAATAAATCTGTTTAAACTACTGAGTTTTGATTATCAATGTATTTTCTTTCTTGTAATTAAAAGTCCTTTTCACAAAATTATGATAAATAGAAGAGTATACTTTAGCCACCTGAAAGGCACTTTTATGGTGATTGTCATGAGCTGATTTTTTTAATGGGTTAGATTTGTTTAATATCTGTGTGTACTCTTTACAACGATGCACAACAGGGGTATAACACAGCATTTCTTAATTGTTTCAACATCTGGTTTTGTTTGCACATCATATGTTAAAAATGAGTGGCAATATGAAAATAACAAGCTTGATTTGATAATGAAATACTGCCTCCAGTAACCCTTACAGGAATGACTGTTACCTGTTGAACTTTTAGACGGGTTCATTTTGTTTCAAACTCAGAAATTCAGATTTCTGATCTAAATAGAAATATAACGTGAAGACGCACTTAAACACCTCGTTGTTTTCTTTTATTTTTATTCCTAGATTATAAGAATGTCTGCCTCAGTTTCCTGCCATTTAGATAGTTTAACACCTGCAAGACTGTATCTTCTTTTTAAATATGCTGCAGATCCCTAAATGCAGCTTTGTACACGTTTGCACCTCTGAACAGTGTTTCTGTTGCTCATCTCTCCTGCTTTATGCCTTAAAGTACTGTATGAAGTACACGAATGGTACTGACTGATACCATGTTCAAACCTCTGAGTATACAGATAGAAAACTATTGCAGTGGGAGTTCCTCCAAGTTAATTTTCCCATCAAATGCTGGAGGAAAAACTTCTTTTAGCAAAACCACTGCTGACGTGACCCTGTGAAACTTGAGGCATGGCCATAAGACGGTAAAGGTTTGGAGCAAGTAAATTACCTCGGGGACTGGACATTGTGTCAAGCACACAGTCATGAATTTCTTACAAACTATATCAAAGTCCTGCTCAGCCAAATCCATCCCTCAGCTGGAGTCCCATTGAGATGCATTAAAATGTAAGAACTTGCATTTAGGGCTGAACCGAGTATCTCAAAGGAAGACACCAATAATTTGGTAATGCTGATGGTTCGCAAAAATTCATGCAGTTGTCATATATGGCTGAAATTTCTCTTGCATAGCATGACAGCTCACATGTAAAGCAGATTTATGTGAAAATCCACCTAAAACCAGAATTAATATTTCCTATTTTAATGTCCACAAGTCAGTGCTGCTGTTAAGGATCATGGAAAAATTAATTCTGTTTTAGGGTGGATTGTCCCTTTACTTTAACAGTTGTCTGGTTCGACATAAGAGAGCAGATTACAACATTTGACATTTATCTGACATTTAAACCTGGAAGCAAAAACTGTAAGTGACGGCACGACTGCACAGATACCAACTTTTAGAGTAGACTGTGTAAATGTTTACCACTGTAATATCTGCGGTGGCTTATTTAGTAACACCTGGTCAACTGAGTTTACATTTCATCATTTTATCATTATTATGTACTATGATTATTTTTCACCTGCTCACCTTTGTATCAGAAGCCTTTAATATTAAAATGCACAAAGTGAAAACATGTACACCAGTAAGTGCAATTCACAGTAAAATTCTGGGTCAAATACTTCTAGTAAGGTCCCCTGTGGAATGGGTTTACAAGTTGTAAGTAATGGTTTTATTAATGGTCAATAAGTCATTTGCCAATGCCTTATAAATCAGTTATAAGCAGTTAATAAGAACAACTTTGGGTTGCCAGGTTGTGAAAAATCTATTTGCTGGTGTTTATCCTTGTTCTGCCTGATGGTTCCTTTGACTTTTTATGTGTTTAATTAGTCATTGAGAGGGATTTGTATTAAAAAACCCTTTATTAATGACTTAATAACATACTGCTGACTTGATGGTTGGTAGAAAATGAGAAATCCAGGACTATTTATTAATATTTTACCAGTATTTAAAACTACTTTTCTACCTAATAGAAAGAATAAACACCAGTTGAGGAAGTTTTTCACAGTCTGTCAACTCAAAACACGTTCTTAGTAATGGTTTCCAACTGATCTGTAAACCTTTTCACCTGTTTTGAGCTCCTTTGTGTCAAAATCGTTGAATACCAAAATGTACAAAGTGAACACATGTACCAATTCACAAGAAAAAACTAAGGGCTTTGTTAATGGTAAATAAATCATTCAATACTGCTTTATAGATTAGTTAGAATTAATAAGCAAAAGTTTTGAGTTGCCAGAATGTGGGAAATTTTTGGTGTTTATCCTTTGTTTGTTATTAACTTAGTCATAAATGTTGGTCAAACATTTATAAATACTTAAACTTTTTCAGTTTCTTTTTCAGTTCCCACCAAGCCATCAAGTCTTTTGTATGGTAAGTCATTAGTTAACTGGTTTCTTTTACAGAAATCTATCTTAATGAAGAATTAAATACATTAAGAAGCAAGTGTCATGCTGAAGGAGGATAAATAACAGCAAAAGGGATATTTCATGACTTGGTAAGCCCAAACTTGTTTTTATTACTGCCTTCTAATTGATGTTTAAACGATGATTTATTAACCATTTCTAAAGCAATTAGTTATAACGTATAAACTGTTTTTAAAGGGTGCCTTATTAAAAAGTGGCACCAATATTTATTGATCATGAAAAAACTTCCACATATTCAGAGATTGCGCTTGTGTATAATGTGACATCTCTAAGATGATTTTGAGGAAAAGTACACACGCTGTCTTTGTGTAAACAACATATTTAATTTGGCTCAGAATTCAAAGCAGTGACCTTCCTGTTTTTTGCACATTTTTGTGAGCTGAACTCTTCAAGCTTCATCACCAACAGCTGCCATAACTTGATGTAAACAAGGTTTAATCTCCACTGGTTTTTTATCAGTCAACGGTGTGACTACACCACTCCTGTAGCCAGTTTTGTAGTTTAACATGGCTCCAGTGCAGCCCAGCAGGACTCCCCCTTTCCCTCATGACTGTGTATAAAGCCGTGGGAGAGGACTGGGAACATTAATCCCTTCAAAGGAACAGATCTAATTCAAAATCTGCCGCTCCAAACTAGTTGAGAGGACAGTGATTGTTTCTGCAGGGAAGCCAGATAAAGATCAGAGAGTTGATATAGAAAACTACAACTTCCATTTCGACTGCTCTGCCACAAAAGTTTGGATATTATCTTATGAAAACTGCATATTTTTGCCTTCATTAACTGTTCTGAAACAAAAAAAGGACAAAATATGATATGTCAGTTTAGCCTTTGTTTTAAAGTTCCCTTACGTTACAAATACCTCTGTTTGATTTGGATTCTGCAGTGCATGAGATCCTGTGCTTTTTCTGACTGAATTTCCTCCCCAGACATATGATAAGTTTATAAGGAAACATAATTGAGACATCACTACTTCAAGTGCTGCCATTGTCACCTGATTTAAAACGGGTTTCCCGTATGTGACATGTAAGGTAACATTGATTTGAATTAGCTGCTGGATTTATTTTTTTTTCTTCAGGCTCTTAGCTTGAATGGGTGTAAATTTTAATGCTCAACAAAGAAGGAAAAAAATCTAAATTAGGAATAAGTTCTGATAAAACAACTGATTGAAATGAGTGAAGGAGAAAGAAGTATTTAAATAATTCAGAGAGGGCATAATTAAGTGTTTAATGCCTTGTTGTAGTTCAAAGGCACAACAAAGAAATTTTAATTCAAATTAGAAATGTAAAAGAGAGGCAGATTCTTCAGAGATGAGAACTTTGTGTTGAGTCACTTGATTTGGTCTCTTTCCTCCATCAAGCAGTGAGGCAACGCTCTTGGAGATCTCCAGAGATAACAATGTCACATTGTCACATAGGGTTCTGCTACAAATCCTTAATTACAAAAAGAGGATCAGATGACTACAGCATCCAATACCGGGGTCTCCAGGCGGCATGGGGGTCTTTGATCAAGAAAATCCAATTATTTGTGTATATACATTTCCCACATAGTGATTACTTCATTAATTGTCCCGCCTTTATCTCCTCCCTTCCCATCCCCCCTAATAATCAGCTCCTTTATCCAGACCAACAAACACACCATAGGAGCTTTGTGGATTCAAAGGATTTGCTTTCCCCTCTCAAAGAGCCGCTATTCTTTGATGATTGGGCAGCGGCAAACTTCAAAGTAATAAATCTTATTTCTGACTGGCTGGCGGCCCACCAAAGTCCTTATCAAATTCTAAGAAGTGATCCCTCACTCTTCAGATAGACCAAGGATATCTCGGAGAGAGGAAGCACTGAAGAGTGAAGACCTGCTCGACAAGATATTTTACTGCGAATGCACACATTTATCTAAATTAGTGCTTTTATTTTTATTTGTTTTCATCGAGAGGGAGGAGGACGTTTACCATGGCAGCAGTGGCAGTACTGCGGAATGAAACACTCCAGGCTTTTCTTCAGGTTTGTGCGCAACTTTCTGTTTACTTTGACGACTTTAATAACTTGTAAACTTACAGTGCTCATCCACGTCGATTTACGTTTGGATTGCGAGTCTCGTGTTGCCTGTGCCTGTTATAAGTCGAGCTACTTTGATTGCCCAATGTCATACAATTTAATTACTAACGCTAATAGAGTGCGTGTTAATGATTCGTGCTGCGACATAACGTCAACTTTTATGTCACATCATTCGGGTTACAGGATCGATTTAGTGCAGATGAAATTCAAACTGTTTTGACAAACCATTTCAGCATTTGGCTGCAGAATAAAAAGCAGCACATGATGTGTGTTTTTACCTCATAAAATGTGTGATTGTAATATAGAAAATGTGTGTGTCGATTATCCAGGATCGCACTCCAAACTCTTCTCCAGAGAACTGTAAGCACTCTCCGCTGGCTCTCCTGGCTGCCACTTGTAACCGGATCGGGCATCACCACGGATCAAACCCCACAGATTTTCTCCAGGTCCCCTACGACCCAACTCTTGGCTCCCCTTCGCGTTTATTTCACCCGTGGACTAACGAGGGAAACCCTCAGAGCAGCCTGGCTAGCAATTCTACTTTCGGACTATCCTCCAAGCCCCAGCTGTCTGCGCACATCCAGAGCTCCTTCAGCTCGCACCACGAACTACCCCTCACCCCTCCGGCGGACCCCTCGTACCCATATGACTTCTCCCCGGTGAAGATGTTACCTTGCTCCATGCAGTCCCTGCAGTCCACCTGCCCTCCCACCTACGTCCCCGCTGTCAGTTACGCAGCCCCAACTCCTATTCCGCCCGCTATGCCAAGTTTTGTCACGGGACCCTCCGGCCTTGTGCACCAGCAGCAGAGACAGTTGTCCCCAAACCCTGGAGAGGATATTCCGTGGTGGAGCCTCCAGCAGGGGAACCATGTAAGCCACTCTTCCTCCCTCGGTCCCCATCGCTTCCAGCTGCAGAGGGGCTTGGTTCTGGGACATACGGACTTTGCGCAGTACCAGACTCAAATCGCCGCTCTGCTGCACACAAAGTCCCCTCTCGCAACTGCGCGGCGGTGCAGGAGGTGCAGGTGTCCGAACTGCCAGTCCTCCACGTCCAGCGACGAGCCTGGGAAGAAGAAGCAGCACATTTGTCACATACCGGGTTGCGGGAAAGTTTATGGGAAAACTTCTCACCTCAAAGCGCACCTGAGGTGGCACTCTGGAGAGCGGCCGTTTGTGTGCAACTGGCTGTTCTGTGGCAAGAGTTTCACCAGGTCGGATGAGCTGCAGAGACACCTGAGGACTCACACGGGGGAGAAGCGCTTTGTTTGCCCGGACTGCTGCAAGAGGTTCATGAGGAGTGACCACTTGGCAAAACATGTCAAAACTCACCAGAACAAAAAAAGCAAGTGCCACGACAAGACACTTGACCATGTCAAAAGGGAGGACACGAGGAATATGTTGTAACACACTTTATAGTCATTTTAAACAGTAGAAATCACTATAGTGCAATACAGTCAGTCCTACATTAGTTAAAGTACACAGTGAGCTGCATTTCTACATTGGGTATTTTGTTTATTTTGTTGGTGGAATTCTTACATCATGACAATAGTTTCTAACATTGCTGGTCTGTGTAGCACATTTTTGTATGTATATATAAAGTTTCATAAGTTAATTTGGGACCATGGAGAAGTTATAGCTCATGAGTTTGAATTCACTGTCTATATCATATCAAGGAAGACAAGTTTTCAACTTGTGTTTTGATCATTGTCTTCGGTGGAAGATTTCACTCCCCTGTAAATTATATTTAATAGCTTTTGTTGAATGAAAGTGTCCGTTTTTTGCTCCATATGGGGTGTTTTTAAGCATGCTCTTGAAAAGATCTGCTATTGTTGATATGACCCAAATACTGTGTGAGAATAAAGATTATAACATTTTCCTCATCTCAGAATAATTCATTTAATCTCCCTCAGTTATATGAGTGATGAGACAGTCAGGTTTTATATTTGTAGAGAAACTGAATCCGATGTTACCTGGAATAATATGTGTGTGCTTTGTAAACTGTTGTCAAAGTTTTACAACAGTAAAATTTAGTCATACATTTCAAACTATTTTGTGGAGTAAAATTTAAAATCAAGTGATGTGAGTACCTGATGTTGTCCCTTGCAATTAAAATGTGCTAATATTTAGTTTCCAGCTGTTGATGAAGGTCACAAAGGAGTCATTTGCTCAAAATAGAATATTGTTTATTATTCTGAAAATGAAAAAGATGTCTACATTTTTAAAATCGCAATTTGTTACACAATCTAACCTGCCACCTGTTGTGTTTCATATAACATTTAACAAATGCCAAGCAACATTTAAGAGGCGATGAGGTGACTTATGTTGAGTTGCTCTGCACTGTATTTGAAAATCCTCAGAGAAATATTTAAAAATGTATTTATGCCGTTGAAAATTTCACAATAGAGTGTTAAACTGTAAAATGTATCTGTGCGAGCGCTGAAAGTTGGCCAACAGCTGAGTAAAAACATATAAGAGACTCTTCTCCATCCAACCCTGTCTCCTCGAAATAACCTGAGTGCTTCTTAGGTGCTCATATTCTAAAACAGAACTTTAGTAAACTCAACACTGTGCCTTTTCACTATGGAGGTACTCCCTTCAATACGTTATGAGATATGAGTTTATATTAAAATGTTTCTCGTTTTCATGGGAAAAGATGCAAAAAAAAAAAAAAAAAGTAAAAAAACAATGAATAAAATGAAATAGTACATTAAGTTGTTTGGAGAATATCCCGCATATTCACATTTACTTCACAAATGATGTTATTTTTTTTTCTGCCATTAGAATAAACTGTAGGGATGTTCTAATTTGTTAATGGACTCTAATAGATGTGGTCTATTTGTTTTGTGCTACAGTTTCTGCATTATACATTTAGCTCTGAGGACTTTGTAGTGACACCGTAGGCTGAGATGAGACCCATTATCAAAGAAACATTTTGCCTTTTAGCTGGAATATCACCAGATTCATGTTGTACACAGGATGTGCGGCAGCTTTAAAGTCTTATTTTTTCTGTCTGAGTCACTCAGGGTCTTAATGGACAGTTGACGACAGTCCACATGAAGCCTTTTTGATCAAACTGGTTAAGGAGTCTTGTGTTTTTCTCACTCACAAAGTGGAAATACATAACCATACAGGGCGGATTGCACACTTTTGACACTGCTCTACCACAGGAGGTTACTGTGAATTGCCTTGCTCAAGGGCACTGCAGCGGGCTACAAATGTGTGTTTGTGCGTGCTACAACTTGCTGAACAATTGTAGAATATTTCATGTTGACCTCCTCTACCTAGATTTTCCAGTGGTGACTGGGGATTGAAAGTGTTGACTTTCTGGGGGAAAAAATACTTTGAATTTCTGACCTTTGAGGCTCTTCCTTCCATGACACTAATCAGCCCAATGAGGCGATGAACTCTTCAGCATTTAACAGATGTGAACAAGAGTAGAGCAGACAGTAGCCGCTGCCTGCAGCCAGCAGTCACACTGTTGTCCTGTCTGTCTTATGTGGGATCACTGAAAATGTCAGTATAAAGACAACAACCGCTGCCATTCATTGGAATTTTGAACTGTCAGTTTCTGCCTCAACAGCTCCCCCTTTTGTAAGACAAATACAAATATCCCCCCAAAAACTCCTCACAGTATAAGTCCATGCTTGAAAGACTTTTTCCATTCTTTTACAATGGTACATGTTGTCCTGGAAAGACTAATGAACAAAATCAATACGTACAAGTTCATTTATTAAACAATGCAACCAGAGATTTTTTGGTTCCTTTGTTGTATGGTGGTTAGGTTTGCCACAATGACAGCCAGAAAATCATGTCTTTTTTAAAATCAGTTTAGTTTACTTAATTATCCTGGTGTCTCACAGCTGCAACCAAGTGACTTTTAAGATACAATTCACCTTTCACTTGTAAACAAAAGAGTTGGCTCTTCACCAAAATTCAAACTACAGGATTTGAACCTGGTATCATTCCCAAAGGTTCTTTAACCTTGATTTAAAAAGATTAACTAAGGCTAAGTGCTGCAAATTAGCCTCAGTTAGACACCTACTGCTGTATTACTTCTCATGTGTGACAATGTTTATCTGTATTGTCCCTGTTAAATTAACTCATAGATAAATAAAAACAAGGACTAACACTAGACAACAATTACAATAACAAGGTATTATGTTGTTGCTGGTGTTGTTAAAGGTTTATTTACATCAGTAATATTTGCAAATAGCAGCCAATCAGGACTGTTTTTTTGATGCTCATCAAATGAAAAACAAACACAGTTTTCATCTATAACTCGAGCACTTCAATTATATACAGTAGATACAACAGTCAAAAATTGCTGCTGCTTTGTGCACTTGGTAAGAGATGTGCTAGTGAGATTGTGAGAGTTGTATCCAGTTTTACCAAATCTGAAGAACGAACAATCTGCATGAATATTAACATACATTCATCACAAAAGAGGAGGTATAAAGGGAAAAAAATTGTACAGTATAAGAAGATAGATTTGACCATTTGAACTGTAAAGTCTTTATCCAAATTTCATGATCCTATTATAAAAATGATGCCTATAGATGGATATATTGAATGCACCCAGACTGGCTGCTCCCAGAGGCATTGTGAGGCTCTGATTTGGCTTCATTGTCCAAGACGGCGTCACTGTTCTCGCACACTGCAGGAGGCCAAAATACTTAACTGTTCATAGAAAAGGATATTATATGTTGTGGTATTAATTTATTTTCCAAAAATGAGTGAAAGGTTTAAGAACTTTTCTTTTTCTTTTAACTAATGCCTGTCCATATGTGACCCCAAATTATTTAATCTCTCTCTATTAGCAAAAGCATTATTACAGAATAAATGATTATTTCTAATTATCTTATTCTTTATGTCAATCCATTCAGGGTAATACTTTTAAGCACCTTATTTTGCATACAAGCAGTGTATAAACAGTTATATGACACAAAACACAATAATTAAGTTGTAAGTAGATTTTTAAATATTTATTACTGTATTTGTCAATAACCCTTGTGTTCATAACTGGTTTATAAACAAATAAAGAATGATGGACAATATCATATAAAACTGCCATATGTCTTATATTGCATATGAATATGAAGCATCTTTATATGATATTTATAATATTTAATATGTACCATTTTAATTCTCTTTAGTTATTGATTAATAAAGTGTTTTTAGCTCACCATTACAACTGAGCAAACACAATCCACTGATGAAGGCCAGAGTAGGCAGCTCAAAGCTCCAGAAGCAGTGTAGTAAGTGGACCTTAAAGTAAGATTGAAATACTTTAAAAGGACTAACCGTTTTCCGGTTACAACTGTATTATAGCAATCTATTTATAAAGTGTTTATATACATGCTAAATAGTGGGGGTTAAAACAAAGGCTTGTCCCATGTGAAATAAGGAGTGTCAACCAACAGTGTTAGCAGTGACAACTCCTGCTTAAAGAAGATTTAACAAGTTTATTATTACACTTCTGATTTAGAATAGAAATAATATTCCACCATGTTTAGGAATCATATTCAAAATAGAGTTTAGCCCTTAAAATGAAAAATTAAGTAGTTCACAGTCACCATGAGAGCTTTGGGGTTCAGGTTCAGTCAGCAGTGGGACAGACTTTTTCATCAGACATGAACCTATTCACTGAGCTTTGGCTCCACGGAGGCTGTCAAAATAAAATGACTGGCAGGCAGTAGCATGAATTAAATCCCTGAAGTCAACAACTCTGCTGTACCCTATGGAAGATACTTGTGCTTCCTCAAATTTTGCAGCTGCTGTTACATTCAGTAGGCAAGTGAAAATAGTTTATCTGGACATTTGATAAATGAATACTGAATCTCTTAGCTGAAGCTAGACTGAGTGAGAAACATCTAAATACTTGCTTCTGTGCCTTTAAAGCCCCTGAAAACATGATGCAATTCTGATGTATTTCTCTATAACATTAAATATTCATCTTAAAATCAGCAACAATCAAAGTTCAAATTTGAAAAAAAAAACGTCATTAGGTATTCTTAGTTCTCATTCATACATCCATGGTTTGATCCGATTTTACAGATAGCAACCAAACAACCTACCAAGAAATATTGACTCAGATTTCACTAAATCCTGATTGGTGCATGGCAATACACAGCATCACCTTTATTTTCTAACCGTCACATCCACCTCATACAGTGAGAAGAGCACAAAACAAAACAAAACAAAAGACACAGGAAATCTTTCGTGTTAAACAACCAAAACTGTTTGTCAAAAAATTCTGTGTTCATGTATGACCCTATATAGCTCCCAGTAAGAAGCTGACTGAGGAATTACGTTTGTAGGACCTTAAATTAATTATGACACTGTTAGTGAAAAAACATTCAGAGCATAATATTCAGTTCATTTTCGGTCCATAGTATATCGGTAGCACATTGAGGATTGAGGATTTGAGGTTAGATTTGTTTTATAACTCTTGTTAGTCTTTGTAGAAACTGCTAAACTGCTCAGACCAAATGTATCTCTGGAGTCCATCTTATAACCTGTGTCCTGTTGGTTGTAGCAAACCTGTAGTAGCTTGTTAAATATGTTCTCTTGGTAGAAATATTTGTGTTTTTGCTCAGAAA